TGTTTCCATGCGTGGGGTTGGATCACCCTACAGACTGTCTCTTATACACATCTAGATGTGTATAAGAGACAGGTCACACACCCACACCCACATCCACATACACACCAACCCACACATACACGCACGCACACGCACACACGCTCTCTCTCTCTCTCTCTCTCTCTCACACACACACACACACACACACACACACACACACACACACACACACACACACGCACATACATTCTCCTGTCTATTTATGGGGAGCGCCACCTATTGGAAACTGGGTCCAGCATCCCATGAACATCGTCAATGAAGCACCAACCGGGACCGCAAGTTATATATAGCGAACATGACAAAACTTACATATAGCATAATCACTACCTTACCCTTCCCGAACCACTTAAACAAACGAACGACGGGCTGTGCACTCGTGCCCTCACGGTACGTCAATAGGTCTCGGCACCTTCAGGGCCGCGAAGTAGGGTCTTCGGTGCCTTCAGGGCTGCGAATTAGGTTTTGGGCACGAACGAATTCCGACTACAATTGGAAAACGTTTTGAGGGTCACATTTGTTATCATTCGAAACTTGGAGGGCGATTTTGTACTGGGTTTGTGCCCTTCTTGCCAGTGGCACAATAGGACGGAAGGAGGCTGCATACCCACGCGCAGCGGGCCGTATACCCGCGCGTGCACTGGGTTGAGGCTGTGCTGTGCCGCTGGCAAGGTAGGACGGCCGGGCGCCGTGCACTCTGGCGCGGACGCACAGCGCACAGGGTCGGCGAGGGTACCAAGGGGTTGGGCGGCGTGCAGACCATCGCTCGCAAGCGACAGAGAGGCTGCGAGAAAAAGAGGGGACAGACCCAGGCAGAGCGAGAGGGAGGTGTCTGGTGTTTTTGGAGCACGATCGTCGACTGAATTGTTGATCGATTGAGAGGCCGGTTCTGCACGATCTGAGAAGTGTTTCCAGTCACTGTCGACGTGGTCAATCGAGAGATAGAGAGCTTGTCTTCACATGTGATCGACCGCCATTTAGACAGCGCGAGGAAACAGGTCACATAGGGGAGGGAGAGAGAGAGACTGGCGCTCCAAGTGACGCGGGGGAACTTGGTGGAAAGCGAGACAGCGAGCAAGCGCCTGTGCCCGCGCGCTACACACACACATACACACACCACACACACAACACACACACACACACACACACACACACACGCACACAGACACACACACACACAGAGAGAGAGAGAGAGAGAGAGAGAGAGAGAGAGAGAGAGAGAGAGAGAGAGAGAGAGAGAGAGAGAGAGAGAGAGAGAGAGAGAGTCCCTGAAGGGGAAAGCAGAGTGGAGAATTGCAACTACAGTTCTTAACTTGGCATAAGCAGGTATGTTATGAGTCAGTATCTTTCTGTCCTTCGGCCTTCTCTGCCTCCTGCGCACCTGATCATGCTCTATCTCCAATCTATGATTATGGCATTTGTTTTAGTCTCTGGGGCATTCTGTAGGCTTTTAATGAGGTCATGTTGTAACGTTCCCTTTCATCAACTGGAAACGTATGTATTGTTTCTTGCGCTTATATTGTCATGTCTGTTTATCCTCGTGTCACTCCCATGATCATTATGGTCGTTAGCATCGTGACATCGTTACTAACACACCTATCGTCATCATGGTCGCTCTACTTCTCATTGTCATTACCATCTATGATCATTGCTGTCCCCATCGTCATCGTCGCACGTTCATCATGCTGCCACGATTCTCGAAGAAATGTCGTTATTACTTTATTGTCATATCATTACGATCCCCTTACATTTATCGCAGATCGCCATAACTCGTAGTCGTCATCGATGATCATCAGCATGTCATCATCGTCTTCCTTATCATTATCGTCTTCGCGAGGGGAACTTCGATTTGACGAGGATGCAGCTTCTTAGTGTTTTCTTGGTTTGCCTGTGCTCGTTCATTTCGTTTTGCTTTCCTTTTCGTCGTTTGTCTTGTTTCAGTCCGGTTTTCCGTTGTTTGCGTTAGTGTAGAAGTCAGGAGGTATGTTTTGCGGGCACATTTTCATTTTCTTGTTTGTGGTGTTTCTGCGTGTGCGTGCGTTGTGGGGGGTTGCTCATGTGGGAAAATGAAGCAGGACGGTGGCGCGCCGGGGCAGAGGAGCGTGTGCAGACAGGCGGACGCAGTGTTGACTACGCAGCCGCGGCAGGTCATGTACGGACGGTATGGCGGCAGCGACACGTACGGGGGGGCCAGCGCCCACTCGTACGGAGGGGGGGGGTCCTCTCGAGGAGGGGTTGTAGCGGGCGGAGAGGGGGGGGGGAGGGGACTGAGCTACGACAGAGACAGCAGATACGGGGAGCGGGGGGAGCGGGATCGAGGGGAGCGTGAACGTGGGGAGCGCGAGCGCGGGGAAAGGGAGCACGAGCGGGATCGAAGCGGACGGCGGCAAACGCGATCACGGTCGCGAGAGCGGTCGCCGCGACGGTCAGAGCGATACGGTCGGGAGCGAGAGTACGACCATTCCAGTCGGGAGAGGGGAAGACCGGCGGCGCCGGCAGCGGTGGAAAGGGAACATGGGCATGATAGGTTTAGGGAGCGGGATCGCGAGCGGGAGAGAGAGCGGGAGCAGCGGGAAAGGGAGAGGGAAAGGGAAAGAGAGAGGGAGAGAGAAAAGGAGAGGGAGAGGGAGCGGGAACGGGAACGCGAGCGAGAGCGGGAAAGGGAGAGGGAGCGGAGCGCTAGGGAAAGGGATCGCTACCGAGCTGCTACTGTCACGGCGGGAGGTGGGGGAAGTTCGGTGGCGGCGCCGGGCATGAGCGCGGGGATGGCAAGTGCTGGGGGTGCACTGGGAGGAAGGGCAGCGTATACCGATTACGATCGGAGTCGAGACCCGCCCAGGGATCGGGACCGGTATAATACCACCAAGAGTCGCGAGGTCGACGACCGGTACTCGTCGTTTCGAGTCGCGCCTGGGTACTCTGGGACAGCTGCGGGAGGGATGGCCACTGCAGCGGCGACCGCCTTTGCGATGGGAAACGGCTTCGGCGTAGCGACGCCGACGTCTGCGCGAGGAGGCTACGGTGGAGCGTTCATCGCCATGCCTGCTGCGCCATTTGCACCACCAAGCGACACGTGTTTCGTATGTGGAGGCGTTGGGCACTGGGCACGTGATTGCCCGAGCAAACGATCGGGGGCCATGCCGACCTTGACTGGCGCAGGGGACATGGGTGTGTCACCTGGTGCCGATGCGAGTACTAGGTGTTTCGAATGCGGAAAACGAGGGCACGTCGCTCGGGAGGTACGACGCTGGCGGAGATCATGACAGATAAGAGAAAGAAGCAAACAGACAGACATCATTCCGTGACAGTCTTACTATTTTCGGTGCTTGGTGCGGGGGCTGGCGCTACAGGGAGATGGTGGATTGATTAATGTAGGGGCAGGCGGGCCGGGGGGGAGTTGGGGGGGGAAGGGAGGTGTTGGAACTGGCATAATGGTAGTGATAGTGGTGGTGATGTGTGAGCGCCAGTCTAGGTTATGTTGGCTGAAGGAAACGGAAAAGGCGTTGAATGGAACTGGGCGTTTTGGGGGAGGGGGACTGTGGGGTGTTGGGTGGGGGGGGGGAGTTGGGTAAAGGGAGAGGAGGGTGTTATGGTGGGTGATTGTCGTCAACGTTGTCGTCCTCCTCGTCGTCCTCGTCGTTCTTCATAGGCCGTCGGGAATCCGGAGCCAGAGGGCAAAAGGGAGGGGGAGGAAGGAAAGTAAAGGAGGAGGCGAAGTGTTTGGGAAAGCGGAAAGGGGGCTGGAGTGTTATGGATTGTTCAGGGCGTTTGCGGTAGGTTTCGTTGGCAATTGTGCTGCGTTCTGCGCAAGTAGGAGGATTTCCAGGTGGACTGATGTGCGAGTGGTAATGGATGAGGAGGCGGTGAAATTCTGCACGCAACGAAGCAACGAAGAAAGGAAGAAAAGAAGGAAGCAAGCTGCATGAATGTGATGTGATTGCTCTTGAAGAAGAAAGTGGGAAGGGAACTCAACTCGGCTTTTAGAGAGTGGGGGTGAACTGGATCCGAGTGCTGGATGGTTAAGAAAGAACGTGGGAGGGCGGTGAAGGCGGATGGTCGAGCAGGACAGAGACAGGGAGCTATGGGGAGCAACAGTAGTACTTAGGGAAGGTGGCTAAGGGTGTCGTCGTCTTGGAAGGTGTTTTACATGGATGGCAGGGAGAGAAGTGGAAACGAAGAAGGGAACGGGCAGAGCAAATGGGCAACGGAGTTAGCGAGGGAACGTGCATTGCTGCCGTGAACGAAGAAAGAGAACTCCTCTATTAGATGAATGGATGGATGGATGGATGGATGATGGATGGATGAATGGATGGAATGGCTGAATGGTTCGACGATGGGTTATGTGGATGGGCGATAAGTGGGTGGATGGATGGATGGATGGATGGAGTTCTTGAAGTGAAGGCGAAATGGGGTTCTGCTCATTGAAGTTTTCGCTCAGAAGTCGAAGATGCCATATTCTATCGCGGTCACACACACACACACAGACACACACACACACACACACAGAGAGAGAGAGAGAGAGAGAGAGAGAGAGAGAGAGAGAGAGAGAGAGAGAGAGAGAGAGAGAGGGGGGGGGGTAGGTGGACTAGAAGGCGATGGTGTGAGAGGACTGGCGATGGATGGTTGAGCTTCACGAGGGGATCTTGGTGTCCTAGTGTGTCGATATGCGGCTGAAGTGAAGGGTGATGCTTCGGGAGCAGTCAGTGGAAGGCCGAAGCACCTGACGGAAATGACGGGTTTTGAGAGCTATGCCCACCCATCATTAAGCATGGCGCCCCCGAGGGTTCGTTCGAGAGGGCACCCGAGGGCGAGATGTGAGAAGGTTTCCGTGTCGTGTGTCGATGGGTAATATCTGGTGGTCTACGACTGCGGTTCACACGTGTGGTGGTCCCTGACCGTTGTCCGCCCGGAGCCTTTTCACAGCTTGCCTTCGGTGGCGGCGGTGGTTGGACGGTTGTCCCCTTCCGTTTGTATGTGCTGTCATAGCGGTTGACTGTCGCTTCTTGTGATTCAGCTCTTCCGATTTCTCTTCAGCCCACGGTTTTCGAGTCGAATTGAAAACCGTGGGAAGAAGCAGAGCGATTGGCTACTTACCTACCTAGTTACTGCCCGGCATGATGGCCCGTTTGATGGCATGTGCAAACCCGCCTTTATACAGGGAGGCAGGGTGACCGTTGTGCCCATAAAATCGTTCTCGCCGGAGATACCTGCTAGTAAGTAGTAGACGGCGGACATGGCGGCCTGTACTGGGGGCCTGGGAGGTCGTAGGGGCAGGCAGGAGAATCGGGCGAACGGTGGAGGAAGCAGGGAGGGCGCAGGACGAGAAGTAAAGTATGAGAGTGATGATGCGGGAGGGGGTGTCAGGTGACGTGAATAGAAGGAGAGAGACTGGTGATATGTACAGAACCCTATCGTGTAGCACAGGCAGGCTGCTGTTGGAGGCGGTGCGACGTCCACCACACCGAGGGAGGGGAAGGTGGGGCGAAGCTGTAGGAATACGGACAGGAAGAAGGGTAGGTGAGGGGATCGACGAAGTGGAGGTTGAAGGTGGGTGAGCGTTGAGTGAAGGGTGGGATCCAGGTGGCCCATTACGGTGGAGAGAGGCCCGGATGATGGGTAGGGATGTCTGGAAGAGATGGACGAGGCTTAGAGACCAGAAGAGTCAACAAGACAAAGGGACTGTTGAGCTTGGGTTTGGAGAAGGTACCCGCCCGTTTGGGCCCGTGTAGGCAGGAGGTTATAGGGGGACTGGGGAAAGGGGAAGACGAGAGCGGGACAGGAGAAGATGTGTCGGCGGCGATGAAGGTGTGTAGAATGGGCCCGTGAAGGGAGGAGGTGTGGACTGGGGAAAAGGGGAATATGGGAGAAGGAGATGTGGAGGTGGTGAAGTGGCGAAGGTGCAGAGTGGGGGAAGGGAGGGAGGGGCAGAAAGGGTTGTGAAAGGGATTCGCAGGCACGGGGAGAGGGTGCTGTGGGTGGAAGACCGTTGAAGGGAGATAGAAGAGCTGTAAAATAAAATTTCTGTTCTCTGGGAGAGCGGAGTCCTAGGGGTGAAAAGGGGTTTGAAGGCAGGGGCTGTGGTGGGTGGAAGACCGTTGACGGGAAGTAGGAGAGGCTCTGTTTTGCTGAGGGAGGGGAGTCGTAGGCGGAAAGTCTTAACTTATGTCTGATGCAGTGGGGAAAGAATCCGAAGCGAGGTGTAAGAGAAGGAAGGTTGATCGAGGGAGTCAAGTATAAAATACATGAATATGAATGTATACGCACACTCACACATTCTCTCACGCACAACTCCACAAATCAAGGGGTGACTGTGGGAGACACTGGTGCCGTTGAACTTACACCAACTCATCAGGAGGTTGAACTTCGATAGCATGCGCAGGACGCATTTGACGGATGGACAAGGACCCACCAACTTGCCCAAAACTAGCCATACCCTTGAGAAAAGCGTCTGTGTTTGTTTGTGTGTGTATGTCTGTATGTGTGTGTGTGTGTGTGTGTGTGTGAGAGAGAGAGAGAGAGAAAGAGAGAGAGGAATTTGAATGCTGTGCATGGAAGACGAAAGCAAGGATTGCCGTTAGGGAAGCAGCAAGTTTTGCGTTATAACAAAAAAAAAAAAGGAAATGGTAATGTGGCATTTACGATTCTATGCTGTTCGAGTCTTATTCTGTATTATTGCTGGGTACGCGAGCACACTACATTTTTCCCGCGTAAAATGGCTGTCATCAGGAGAGCTGAGCTTGTTGTTAACCGCTCTTCGTGGCCGATGATTTCCGAATCTCGTTGAGTGATCGGTAGATCTCTCTCCCCAGTCCAGTCCGTTGGACGATATCTACTTCTATTGGTTAATGGAGAACGCTCTCCTTGGGTGGGCCGCGTTGTTAGGACTTCCCCTCATCTGAAGGGATGGGCTGATGCTCCCCATTCATGGATGGGAAGGGGCGGACGTCAGACTTCCTCCGTGTACGGACGAGTCAATCACTCTCCACGTGGAGTTGTGAACGTTGAACATTCGACGAATGATCCTAGATGGCAATAGATGGATGGAGAGGTGCGCTGATGATGAATGGTTGGTGGCTAATTAGTTCACATAGATTAGCAGTGGATGAAGAAGACTACCATGCATGGTGGTTGTAGCGTCTCCGTGAGCGACCAGGCGGAGAGGAACCCTTCAATGTCGATGATTGCTGGACAATCGGCCATTCAGTGATGGTAGAGGAGAACCCTCACGGTCATCAAATTGCTGTGGGATGGAGAACGACGTCCATTTAATGAACAACGTCGAATTAATGTTGGACGGCAAATCCTCCAAAAGCCCATGATGATAACGGGCTGTTGTGATTACCAATTATTGTTGTCTGGTCTTTTACTGTATATTTTATTACAGTATTATGCAGTGCTAGAAAACTCTATGCTTTTTGCATCCGGTATGCTCTGCGCCGTGGAGGACCATTCCTCGTTCAAGCGAACGTGGATTGTCATAGTAGTACTGTTAATTCGTTGGATCTGTTGCGTTTATCGCAAGGGTTATTTGCTCGCCAGAGTTAATCAATCAAAACTCCACTGCACGCAATTAGCGTATGAACCTTGCACGCATTTTCTTCTTTCCACTATAACGACTTCCCCACTGTTTGCTTCTTCCCTCGCCGTGTAGAGGTCCAACAACGTTCCTCTTGTGCAGTTACCTCTGCACTTGATCGTTCGATGGGGCGGTTCGTCTTCTGTGCCGTTGACGCTGCTGCGTCCGTCTTCCCCCCCCCCCCCCCTTCCCTCCTCTTTCTCCCCCCTTCGCAATGCTGGGCTTCTCGTCTTTCATCCCACCGGTAGGCAATATTCCTTTTTTCGGTTGATTTGGATTTCTTGCTTCATTTTTTGGCTGCTGCCGGTGACGGTGCTCCCACGTTCTCGTCGGTACGGTAGAGGATCCCTGCTTGAGAGTGTGCCTGCGCCCCTACAATTTCTACGTGTTATCGCGTATACTCTCCCCCGTTACGTAACCCAGCTTGTATCATTTGTGACCTGCATCTTAGCGAGGGTTAGCAGTGGTTTAAGGACTATGATTGATGCTGTTTTGGTTCCCTCAGAGGAGGCATTACGCGCAGCTGTTCGGATCCCTGCTTGAGTGTGCCTGCGCCCCCCTTGGATTTCTCAGTATTATCGCGTATACTCTCCCCCGTTACGTAACCCAGACTTGTATCATTTGCGACCTACACCTTAGCAAGGATTAGCAGTGGTTGAAGGACTATGATTGATGCTGTTTTTGGTACCCTAAGAGGAGGCTTGACGCGCAGAGTTGTGTGCATGTCTTGCTGAACCATTCTCGTGTTTGTTGCGATCCAGGCCATAAAGTACGTTACTCCTTTGGCTTGTTTGCTTTCATGTCCGTTGGTCATTCATGTCTTAGTTTGATGATGCCTTTTCTTTCCCCACGCTCACGGTCGTTTTGTGTTGTGTGATGGTGTTGCGTTCTGTTTGCGTGGTCTCCCCTCCCTTTGTTGTTTCTGTTTGGCGTTGTGTTTTTTTTTTCTATCTCTATCTTTGACAGTGTCCTCTCAAGGTCCCGACCGGCAGCAAGGAGCACAGGTGTTACTCGTGCGGTTCCGTGGGGCATATCTCGAGAGATTGCCCGAACCGATCTTTCGGGTCTCGAAGTGGAAACAGCTCTCATGGAGGGGATGCAGCCACGGGGCGCAACGGCATCCAGTCGGGAGAGGCCTGCTACAACTGCGGAAGGAGGGGGCATTTCGCCCGAGAATGCCCCAACATAGGAGTGGGGATGGCTCCTGGCCTTCTGGACCGTTGGATGGGCCCTCCTATTGGCCCTCAGGTAGTTGCACTTCCTGCTGCCAGTGGAGCTGCGCATGCTGTGTCCGATAGGTGCTATGAATGCGGACAGGGCGGCCACTTCGCTCGCGAGGTAAGGATCATCTAGTCTCCTTTTTATTCTTTCTTTCTTTTTTTTTTCCTTTTCATTCGTGGTAACGACAACACCATTCTTTCCACCATCTGATCTGATTGCATGAGGATTTGAACGCACGCATGATCTGTGTACTCTACTTACATCCGTGCAGCCGTCAGATCCACTTCATGGTGATGTGTGCGAGGATCGAGCCCACGTCAAAGGTTCTGTGACGGTGTAAACGGAAGAGAGGGAGCATAGCAAAGCCATGAGCTACGGAAGAGTTGAGTTGTTAGTCAGCTCTTGTTCCCCCCGTCACACTGTTCTTTCTTGGACAAGATGATGTGGGATCCGCTAGTGGGTGATTGATTGATTGATTGATTGATTGATTGATTGGGTGTGTGTCGGTAGATTTGTGTGGAAAGGTGGATGGAGTGGGAATTCTTCTCGGTCTTTCTTTTGTTGTTTGTTTCCTTTCTTAGATGATGGATCAGACCATTCAGCTGCTGCAATGTTTCGTTGGCCAATCAGTTGGACACTGATCTGGATGGGGAAGCCCGTGTATATATTGTGCTGCTGTTGGTATTATCCTCTCTGCTGCTTTCCTTATCTGGCAAACTATGGTCGATGATGGAGTGTATGCTGCATGCGGAACGCAATTTTGATGACAATCAGTGAAAAACATCGAAGATGGCCGGCCGCGGGTTCTGTCGGTTCAATCGTCAGACCCTTGTTATGATTTTCGTTCGTTTTGCTGAAACGGACAGCTCTGTTGCTCAATATGTTGACTGATCATCGTGCTTATTCTTTTTTTTTTTTTTGTCAAAATACTGTCGGCTGAAGAGTTGGAGAGCTGACGGAAAACGGTCAAGAAACCAATTCAACTGTGTCATGGCTAACGCGTTTTGCAATCCAATTGATAATTGTGTAGTTAGTTGTCTAACGTGCAGCATGAGTTTCCCGACTCCAATTGATAATTGGGGTCTGAGTTACGCCTCGCACGGTAGTCAAAAAGAGTGTAAAAGAGTGTAAGCATCAGGCGATGAAATCGCCCCAGAAAACGGTCAAAGTGAGCGCACCTCCCCATCTCTTCAGTGGGTGGTGGGTACTGGCATGAGGCAAAGATCGAATAGCAGTAGTCAGCCGCCGATGGGATGATGGAATTGGCGGCGACGTAGTTATGACGGGGATGGAGAGGTGGTGTTTATTTATGGGGAGAGGATTTTGTGAGAAAGAGATGAGGTGGATGGAGGGATGGTCGACGATTTGCGTGGCCTTGACAGCATGTGTATCTTTGCATCTGTCGTGGGAAGAGAAGCACGAGCGAGGAGGGAGGAGAGGGGGAAGTAAGGGATGATTGTGAATTAGGAGGCGTCGTCTAGCATTGATGGAAGGATTTTTTTTTTTTTTTTTTTTTTGATGGAAGGATGGTTTTGGGATGGATCGGTGCACCTTTCCACGACGTGCCATTGGAATTGGAATTGGAATTGGGATTGGGATGGGTAATTAAACCCCATCCGGGCAAAACGAATAGTAGCTGGGTAAATATAATTCACCGCATCTTCCGGGGGGGCTCGGTGCTGCTGGACCAAAAGGACTGGCGCCGCCGGCTATCAAGGTACAAAAATATATATATTTTTTTCGCCCCCTCCGGTTTGTTTTCTTTGGCGCGCGGCAGGCACTATCCGCCTCCGTAAAAGCAGGCTGTGGCGCGCAGCACTCTCTGCCTCGGTAAACACCGGCTCGGAGGTACCGGCCCTGGGGCAAGGTCCCACTTGCACGGATTACGAGATTTTGACCGTTGATCTGTGCTATCTACGGTCAATATCTCTTAATTCGTATAAGTGGGACCTTGCCCCTGGACGGCCACAATCTCGATGACTTTTTTTTGTCAATCTCCTCCCGCCAAGGCCAGAGTTATGGGAACTACATATCGTCAAACACAGCTGCCTACGGTTAATGGGGATATCTGCAGAGTGAGGAGTGGGTAGAAGTGAGGCGGTGGCTGTAGCGGCTACCCTCTTCACCCTAATAGAACGCCCGGTAATTATACCAGCATCTGCAGTGAAAGTTGTGCCAAATACAGCATATTGATGACCTGGCTCTATTCGGGTGAAGACGGTAGTGGTTCTGGCCCCAAAGAGTGAGTGATATCTGGAGAGTGAGGAGTGGGTAGACGTGTGAGGCAGTGGCTGCAACGGCTACCCTCTTCCCCCGAATAGAAGGCCCGGTAATTATACCAGCATCTGCAGTGAAAGTTGTGCCAAATACAGCATATTGATGACCGGGGGCTTCTATTCGGGTGAAGACAGTGGTGGTTCTGGCCCCTTTGTTACAACGAGCAGGACGCAGAAAGCTAGGGGTAGTATTCAGCTTGTCTTCAGCTTTGGTATGAACGAATGCCGCCTTTCGTTGTAGGAGTAAAGTGCCGCGGTTGCGCTTGTTGAGATGTCTGTGCCACAGTGGTTGCCACTATGTCAACGAGCAGCAGCTAAGCCACTCTTGTTTGCTCAACGGCGTTGTTCAGTTTTGCGGTCGTAATTCAAAAACATGTGCTCACTGCAGTGTAGCACATGTGCACGGGCCGGTTCCTCAGCATCGTAGCCTTGGCTGCTTCTGTTCTGTTTCCCCCCCCCTTCTTTATCAAGTGCAGCGAATCTTGAATCATACAAGGTTGTAGAACGTTCTCCTTGCCATTTGAATGACCAGTCTTTATTGCTATAGGTAGGGGGCGTTCCTCTATATAATAAGCTCATTGGCTGATAGGCATAAAGTTGTGGAAGTCTGTCGCTTGCATTCCAGTTGGTCAGGATCCTATGAGGACATGTCAGTGTAACGCTAATGTAACGGATGGGAAAAACAAAAGAAGGAAAAAAGATCCAAGTATAGAACTAATGATCATGTGTGGAGGTCTGCGAGCATCTGCGTGTGTCGTTCAACACTCCAGAAGCGTCGGAAACGGGCAGCTGAACACACTTTTGCCATATGAACCAGTGTGTGCCGGCTGCACATCCGTTAGTGGCATGTTTGGCTGTCTGCAATGTATTCTGATATATGGGACACCGATCTTTCCTTCCCCAGAGGAACTAAAGAGCAGGAATGAGGGAAGTGCAAAACGCTCATGGACAATGGCCCTTCTCCCCTCCCCTCCCCCCCCCCTCAACCCTTCCTTGTCCGGGAGAAACTACAGAGCAGAACTAGTCCTTCGGGACATTTGGTTAAAATTGGAACGAAACAGAGAAGATTAGCATGGCCCCTGCGCAAGGATGACACGTGATAGAGAAATGTTCCCCAAAAAAAGAAGAAGAGAAGAACTAGGGAAAGAGGAGTACTAGGGAAATGTCAGTGTACGCTCCTCGAGTTCTCTGTGAAGGGTGGTATTGTTAGCGTGACGGAAGTCGGTGATTATTAGCCTGTACTGCTCTGTTCCTTCTGCTAGGAAGCGTGATCTAAACTGTAACGACTGAGCGTACCTTGTGTGCTCGTATTAACTTGCACGAAATTGCACGTGCCACTTTTGTTTCTTACTTCATGGTGCGCGGTGCCTTAAACCATCAGTACTTGGCCCAGCTATCGGCCGTGGAAAAAAAAAGAGTAGAAACGTTTCTAGTTGGATGAATTCGGGCGCTCCTGTAGTGGCCCGTACGTTTCCTAAAATTGTGGCGCGTTAACGGGCACGACTCTAGGAAGTACTGGTGGGTTAAAGGTTACTGGAATGGTTCTGCCGTGGCTCCTGGCAGCTTTGGGCACCAGGCTGGAGTAGTCTAATATGCAGAGTGAGTGAGATAAAGGCTGCATTTGCGTCGGTTATATGGAACTTAGGGTTCGTGTTGCTAAGGTGAAAGAAAACGAGATAGACAAACTCTTGCTGCGCCTCTTGTCCAGGTGCTGAGCACATGTGCGCTGCCTCCTACGTCTATCTCCGAGGAGGGAGCACCATGCAGCTCGCTCTTGCCGCTGTACCACACTGTTATGGATTGGCTTGTTCCCTCGATGTCTGGAGCTTTGCCATAGTGCCTGACCTTCCACGTAATGGTGTCTGCCAGATTACAAAGATGAGGAAGCTCTACCAGCGGGCTTATCTCAGTCGGTACACCCATAAACTGTTGAAATGCAGATGTGAGTTCAATCCACGTGGAACCAGATGAACGAAATTCGTGAACTGCCGAGGGCTGAGCAGTTTCACGGTATAAAGGCTGTTGCCCTTTAAAAAAGGAAGAAAAAGCACGAGGAAGCTCTGTGTAGGGAGGGACAGAGTGCATGCGTTCCGTATTTAGCATGGAATATTAGTAGTGGCAGGGTAGTGACTTTTACGAAGGAACCGGAAAGTAGAAGTGGGCGGAACAGGCATGCAGAAGAGATGCGTTCCACCTGTATGTTGACACTAGGTTGTGACTACACTATTGTAAGTGCTGCTCCGTAGTTGTCTAATTAAACTTGTCTAAGGATGAAAATACTATCGAGGACTCTGTTTTTTTTTTGCGCCATTTTCTGGGCAAGGACAGCTCATTAGCGTAGACAACTCGTTTGCATCTGTGACTACATCACTGGAAGTGCTGCTCAGTGAGTTCAAAGTCCGAAACTTGTCTAAGGAAGAAATCACTAAAGAGGGCTCGTTTTCTCTTGGACATTTTTTATGCACGGACACGTCATTAGGGTAGACAACTCGTTAGCGCAAACAATAGATTCACGTCTTTAGTGTATGAGCGGAGCAAGGAACGATGGAAACAACATGTTAGACGTCATTAGGGTAGACAACTCGTTAGCGCAAACAATAGATTCACGTCTTTAGTGTATGAGCGGAGCAAGGAACGAGGGAAACAACATGTTAGAATGTGAAGGTCATGTTAGAATATAAAGGGCCGTAGGATGGATATGGTATGCATGTGACATGAATCTATAGAAATTGGCAGTGGACCTGTGCCTCCTGGATGGACTCCTCGGCATGTTTCCATGCGTGGGGTTGGATCACCCTACAGAAATTCACAGTGGACCTGCGCCTCCTGGATATGGTATGGACTCGTCGGCATGTTTCCACACTCGGTGTTTGGATCACCCTACCACCGGCGCCAGCCCGGACCGAAGCTGGTGGCCTGAAGGGGCCTCGGTGTGTAGGAACCCTGGTGGGGGTTGGGGAGCCTCGCTAAGAGTGTCAACCCAAGGCCCTGAGGGTGGGGAATCTCAGTCCGCAGGTGAGGGACCATGGGGTGGGGGTTTACCTTTTTCTATCTCATCCTTGCCCATGTTTATGCGGGAACTCGGGCGGTTAAACCATCAGTACTTGGCCCAGTTATCGAGTCCGAGCCTTGGCGGACCGGTATGCCAAGCCGTGCCGCGGCTCGGACTACTGGGCGCTGCCTTCCCAGACTTGTGCAGAAAGAGTGGGGACAACAAAGACGAAAAAATGAACTAAAAGCCTTTTCTTTTTTTTTTCAAAGTTCTTTTTTTTTATTTTTCAAAGTTCTTTTCATCATTCCCTCGCAGTACTTCTTTGCTATGGGTCCCTTGCACGTACTTTCTGACAAAACTAAGCCATAAAGGAAAACGAAAAAAACAAAAGAAAAAAAGAAAAAAAAAGAAAAAACAAAAACAAAACAAAACAAAAGAGAAATCATGACAAAACAAACCGTTCAACTTTTGTTGCGGCCCGTACGAGCGAGAGCGAGAGAGAGAGAGAGAGGGAGAGAATACATATCGGGAATGCATCTTCCCGCGAAAGCAGGAAGATTCGTTCTCATTTTGCACTTGGCAAGGCGTGCTCACGAGAGAGAGAGAGAGAGAGAGAGAGAGAGAGGTGGTGAGGCGTTCCGTGCAGGACGCCGCCTCTCTCTTTCTCTCCCTCGTGTGCCTTGTCAAGTGCAAAACGGGAACGAATCTTCCCGCTTTCGCGGGAAGATGCGTTCCCTATTCCCGTCTCTGTCTCTCTCCCTCCCTCTCTCTCTTTCTCTCTCACACACACACACGCACACACACGCACACACACTCTCACCCACGTGCGTGGATCTCCCCGTTACCTATCCGTTCGAAAATCGGAAAAAGGAAGTCGGGAAGACTCACGCGTGTGCGTGTGTGTGTGTGTGTGTGCGTGTGTGTGTGTGTGTGTGTGTGAGAGAGAGAGAGAGAGAGAGAGAGAGGCGGCGAGTTTGCTGCGGCCCTCCATGCATGTCGCCCCCTCTCTCTCTCTCTCTCTCTCTCTCTTCTAAAGTGTGGAAAACGGGAATGAATCTTCCCGCTGTCGCTAAAATTCACTCCCTTTTTTTTCTCTCTCTCTCTCTCTCCCTCCCTCCCGCCCGCCTCTGCGTTTTGTTTTCTTTGTTTTCGTATTTCATTTTTGTGTTTTTCAGTTTTCGTTCTAAATACTATCTGTGTCATGCCGACGGTACCGGGGCCCGGCCTTCAAGCAGCGACCAGGCCTTCCCTTGGCCGACCCCCAAAGGTGTCGGCGCGTTAACGAGAAAGGCCCGCGGGCGATAGCTGGGCCAAGTACTGGCCGTTAACCCGTGTTGTCAAGGTCAAGGGCTGACTGGTGCCTACTGGATGTCTTCAAACCCTGGACCCCAGGACCTGGGGGTGGACACTCGGTACTTGGATCTCCGGGATCCCGAGATGACATCCCTGGTGTCTTTCGGTGCTTGTTAATGTTTTTTTCCCCCTCTTTTGTCTGTGGTCTGCTTTATGTCTTTGAGGTGCCTCATCTCCCACTTCTCCTTACCGCCTGTGTTCAGCTGCATGCTTGGTGTCTTCCCACTTCTCCATTGCGGGCTTCCCATTGTTGTCACTGAAATGGCTAGATGGATGGTTGTCATGGCAAGATGCATTGAAAAGGAAATGAAGAGAGGGGCAGAGGGCTGTGAGAAATGCCCCTCCCACCCTGAACTCCCTCGTTTCTTGTACCTCGGCAAGTGGCAAAGGGGAATGACCCTGTCAAGTCCACATTTTCCTTCGCTTCTGTTTTGCTGGATGTTTGTGGTCTTACTTGCGGCCAGATTCCTCAGGATCTGTCTTCATCGCTGTTCTCTTTCTTTTTGTGGACAATCTTAACGATGACAGAGGGAAAGCAGAAGGCTGTGAGAAATAACCAGCACTTTCCTTTCTGTTTCTCAATTTGTTTTTCCTTTTTGTATCTTTTTTCTTTCTGATTGGTCTGAGAGCGTTGACGGATTTCAAAGCTCTTTCCTCCGGACCTTTTTACCAAGGGTATCCCCACTCCCCTTGCGTGTCAGTGGGAATGTCATACGGCCATGTGACTCCAGTGCTTGGTGTACTTGTGCCTCATCATAGGAGAGGGGAAGAAGGCTGCGATAGATTCCCCTCATGCTCCGTCCATGCTTCTTGGATCTGGCTGTGATGTTAGTGATAGAGAGCAAGTGGACATCCTCTCGAATCCGTGCTGTATCCCTTTCATTTGGTCTGTCTTCATCTGTTTCCTTTCATCTCGTGGGTGTCCCGAATGACGGCAGAGGGAAAGCATCCTTCGTCGTTGTTTGTTGATCTGTTTATCCTTCTTTTCATCTCTTTTGTTATTTGTGATTGGTCTGAGGTGTGGAGGGATCTCAAAGCTGTGAAGTTTTCTGCCGAAGATGAATGACCCCCATGGATATTCCGTGGGATTGTTCGAGTTCATCTTGCACCAGCAAATGGTTCGATTGTGTCTGCACAGCACGTAACGTCGCCAGCTGTGGAGGACGACAACAGATTGAATGATATGACGGGATGACGAAGGCGGGTCAAGGACGATGCCAGGGAGCGAAAGAAACGGCCCAGGGGGGGCTACTGCGGCCACGTGGGGTGGTTGGTGGATGGCCAACTTCAAGCCAACTCAAGTTCAAGGTTGGCCGCTCCTCCCACTAGTTTTTCTTTCGGACCTTGCTGTGGCCGCCCCAAAAAATTGTGCAGCCCAGTACTGATTTTTGGCCAACTGGGGAGACGGTGCTTCAGACCTCCCTTCCCCCCCCTCTCCCTTGGAGTGGTTGGGCCAACTTCAAAACCAACTCAAATTCAGACTTGGCTGCTGCTCCCACCAAAAAAGAATTCGACCTTTGGCGCAGCCCCCGTAAAAAATTATGCGGCCCAGTACCAAATTTTGGCCTACCGGGAAACAGCGTCTTGGACCCACCCCACTCCCGCCCCCTCGCTCTTTTTTTGGGGGAAATGCCTAATTGCTACCTTGCGAAGCATCGGGTGCACATGCCGCGTGCAAAAATTTGCCATGTCCGCGTGTGTGCGAACACCACACAGGCAATGCGTGGCAAGAATGAGAAATACATTGGCATTCAAGTTTGAGCTCTCCAAGGATTATAGCCTAGGATCCACTGGTCAAAACACGATTAGGGTTCTCAAAACCGTGGAGCTCGTTTATGTAAACCTTAGTGTAGTCTGGTTTTAGATCTTGGAAACGTTAAGCACCAGCAGATGTCGAGTGTATGCTGGTGCCATAGAAGTTCAGTTGATATCAAAGTACTAGTAGCACACCTTGTCTAATGGATTATTGCTGCTGTAACCCTAATCTGGGGTATCTGTTTGGAGAAAATAAACGGCCGCAGATGTAAGCTTCTACTATAGCAAGGCTGAGCGAGCACCCCTGAGGTGTGTAGAGCTGCCTCTTGCACATGGCAAGGTGTTGCAGTGCCAGCTTTATGCCTAGGGTATCTCAGGTTTAGGCACGGAGAAGCTGAACCACCTTAGTTGTGAGGTTCCACCATAGGAAAGAGGAGCTGCCCCCCCCTCAGGTGTGTAGAGATGCCTTCCGCGAATGTTCATTCTTCATAATGGGGTCAGTATGGAGCTGGTATGCCATGCCCCCGCCCCTCCCTCCTCTCCCCCCTCCTCTCCCCCCTTTCATTTTCCTTCGACCCTCCGTGGGCCACCGCGGGTGCGCAGCGGCATTCACCATGCACGGCGGCTTTTGAGCCACACGTATGTTGTCCATGCACAGGATGTCTGGCAAGACCATGGTTTAAGCATCCCTGCAGTGCAAATGTGGATTTTGCGGCCAGGTCTGTACTATGTAGGCAATTGCTGCTCAAACACAGGCATACAGAGCATCGCACTTAAACCCGCCGATACTGGCGGAAGTGGCCCTGGCTCCATGCCAGTCAACATGGAGCCATGACAACCTGGGTAGACCTAAATCTGCAATGGTTCATTGGTTCAGGGGCAGGGGAAAGTGAGCGTTGGGGAAAAGAGGACCGAGAGGTGGTTTAGCAGCACAGTGAAAAACAAGAGTAAAGCCGCTACTCGTAGACTGACTGGTGATGCTTGCTGCTTCCTTCCCATGTAGTTAGTGATACGATGCGAAGTCTCCAAGGATCCCAAACAACTCAGTTGCCAGCCAGGTCGTGACACTGGCGGTACTTCTTTGTTCTCAGTTTGGTTCGCATGCATACTCCATGTTGGTGGTCAAGGCGGGAGACCTTGAGATATGTAGCGAAGGCTTCTGAAGATGGAATGATGTCATGGAAATTTGTGAGATATTGACGAACAGACTGGTCCGTACTTGCAACAGCTACGCATGCAATGAAGGAGAATGAACGTAAGGCCAAATTAAGAATGAAAGAATGAATTGAGACTGGTAACATGGCAGTGTGGCAATGTGTGGCGGGTGGTTCATGTGCTTCCTACCCAGTGGAGGCAGTGGTGGTGGTGGTCTTGTTTGTATGTATAGCTCATTTTCTGGGTGGCTATTACATTTTTGTGTGGCGGTGGAGCTGCCCGGTGCATGTATCCCTTGGTGGTTGTGCTTGTTTTCGAAGTTTTTTTTTCTACATATGCTGTTGACTTCAGTATGCTGGTACTTCTGATCATATGCTCGTTTCTTCTGGTTCGTCAAGATGCATGCCTCCTTCCTAGACCTGGCTTTGTTTCCTTGATTGTTTGATCACATCTGTTCTTTCCATGCTGTTCGCAGAAGAAAGAACGAAGGAAAAGTAGGAAGTGGAACATTGTGTAGGAACAACATTTACTGTGGTTGGAATGGATGCTGCGGTCGAGTTACCAATTGTTCCTCGGAGTTTTTGTCTGCACCCATCTTGCTGAATGAAAGGATCCACACGCTGCTGCATTGCGGCGGCGGCACCATCTCCCCCTTTCTTTCTATCACAGGGCTGCAGTAGAACCTTCTGGCAGGTACACGACAGGAAGATAAAGATCAGATAGACTAAAAACCGGTGGGCACAGTAGAAGTCCCTAGTAGTCAGTAGGGAGTTGCCGGGTGTCCGCAGTAGGGAGTTGGCAGGTGTCCAGTCCTGTCCAGTTGCAGCTTAGTTAGTCCCAGGGAAGGCCCACATGTCCGGAGAGGGTCAGGACTTGCATGGGAGAGGTAGGCAGAGCCACAGAAGGCTGGCCAGCACCACGATCTGCCTCTTCGATTCTGGCGACACTGGCCGGCATAGCTGTAGTAGAGTGTGGCACAGAGAGAGAGGGAGAGCAGCGAAAACATTCAGAGAGTGATCGCAGGACCTGGGTGCAGTAGTTAGTATCTCAGAGAGAGAGAGAGAGAGAGAGAGAGAGAGAGTAGCCACGACCTTGAGAGTCCAAGTTCTGTGTACGCATACGGTCTTTCTTGCTATTGC